GAAAACCAGTAATAAGCACTGTGGTTTTATGCTGTGTGGTTAACGCTCTACTGGTGTTTCTCCTGAGCTGGTGCTTGGCAGCATCGGGTGTGCATCTGTCCTGGTGCAAAGGGAGCAGCAATTCGTGGAGAGGGAGCTGCGTATCAGCAAGCTCTTGCTTTGGGGCAGCTGTGCTTCAAAACCACATGCTTTCCTGGTTTTTATCTTAATCTCCTGTGCTAGGGTAGGATAGATAATCTTGTGGAGGTTCCTATCTATCTGCTGATGACAGAGCTGGCTGAAGTTTAGCCTCTTCAACTTGAGGTAGCAGAAAGCGGTGTGAGATAAATCTCTCTCTGTTGACCAGCCATCAGTACCACCATTTCCCATGCTTTGGATGGCCTTACCAGTGCCTCTCCAGCTGCCCCATCAGTTCTCAAGCATTAGGATGGGGACTGCAGGTTCTTAGCTCTCGAGGTGCTGTCCATGGGCACGAATCAGTTTGGTAGCATCTCCTGGTCTCCTCAGAAGATAAACATTTGAGTAATAGTAAAGATGACTACATTGGAGGATAGAGAGAACAAATATTTAAAATTGAATTGGAAAAAGCTCTAAATGCTGAGGCAAAGATCATACCAAGGAAGTAAGGGAAGCAAAAGGAAATATGTCCTTTGAGCTGAGGAAGGGAAAAGCTCCTCTCCATCCCCTTGGATCAGTCTGAGATAATAAGGCTGCTGCCTTTCTGATTAGTACTCTGTGGCCCCATCCCAGGCAGGGAAAATCTGCATTTCAAATGGCATATTTTAAAGTACACAATACCCAGGGGCCCTGCTGCTATTGATTTGCCTCTGGTGGGGTCACTGCCTCACTTTCTACAGCTTTATTAACTGGGACCATACACTGGGACTCTTTCAAAGTGAAAGGAGAGTGGATGGGACATTTGTCTTCAGGGGGAGCTGGGCAAGGAGTGGGGTGACTTTTACTGGGAATGCCCCAGAGGTTTTATAAGGGATGTAGGACTTGCCCTCCTTTTGTAAATTTCCCTGGGGCAACCCTGGGGGGAAGGAGGTAGGTGTATGCTGTCAGCTTCTTTCAAGGTGACCGAGTTCCCATTCTCCAACTCCCACTATGCCATTGCACTCAGCCAGGCTGTGACCACCAGACACTGGGCTGGGAAGGTCCCTCTTCCCCTTCCCCTTTAACCTTTTCCCCTGAGCACCTCCTACCAGAGAGGGAAAGGCATGAACGGGAAGCGTGACTGCAGAAGGGTGGCAGGAGTGTTGCCAAGAGTGGTGATGTCCAGACATGTTTGGGACAGGGTTGGGGTCCCCTCTCTAGCCAATGAAGCCAGTTAGCTGGTGTACGTGACTGTGTTCAGGTGTGGGATGCTATACTCCTTCCAGCTCTGCCAGCTGCATGGTTTACCCCATGGGCTGGCTCTGATGGCTGCAGCAAGGTGTACGTCCGCTGGGTCATGAGGTACAGGGACCCTGCTCGTTTCACCATGGCAGGGGGGTTTCCAGGTCTGCAGGGCATCTTGGGTACCCCCGGAGCACTGAGCGTGACAGCAACGGGGTGGCCACTCCCTGCAGGATGCCTGCTGTGGCAGAGGCAACTGAACCTAGTTTCCAAAATCTAAGGTTAGGGCCTTATTTACTACCTTATTTTACTGCATTAGCCTTTTAACCCTAAGCTAAATTTAACCTCCTCATTCCTGAAGCTCCTAATTCAATCTCTGTGGGAGTATGGCCAGTTTTAAGTGATCGTTTCACTGAAACCCACCAGTCTTTAGGCTGCAGACCCCACACCTTCAGCACTAATTGGCAGATTAGAACCATTTTTTTCTTTTCATAAGGTGAGAGAAAATACTTTCTTCTTTCTGAAGGTATGTGACAGACATGCATGAATGATGTTGCACTGCAAAAAGGAGTGCGCGTGTAGCCAAGGTATATTCTACAAACATGCATTTTCCAGTGCAAATTTATAAGCCCTCTGAATACACAAGAAGCTCCACACTCAGGTTGCCCAGTTTGCAAACCAGGAGGAACACCTGCCATTGTGGAGTTAACTCTGCACAGCTTAGAGACATCCATAAGCAGGAAAAGAAGTTGCATAAGCCATAAATACTGTCATAAGTGATTGCCTAGCTCTGCTGAGTGCAAAACGGAGATTGTTTTTGGAGCAGCACAATCATCTGTGCTACCATGGGCAACACAGTATCTTTTAGATAGAGCCATGTTTCTCTTGCGGCACAGGTGAATCACAAACGAAAAAGGGATTAACACTTTTCCTGTAAGTGGTTGGGAACCAAGGTCCAAAAATATGCGCTGAGGGCCAAGTAAGGGGTGGGAATGATTTCACCTGACTGTTAGTACGTACAGCTGAACTGACCACCTGGGGCTCCACATGTAACCAATAGGGAGAAACAACACTGCAATTCATCTGCCCAGAGGTATCTGGGTACAGAAGGGAGGGATGAATCTTGGCCTAGACTCCTCTGCCTGTTATCACATCAACCGTAATAGGTGACCAGCTCAGAGGAAATCCCATCTGTATTTAGTTTACTGAATCTGACAATGGGAAATGCCAAAACCATAGTCCACTGCCTGCCGTAGGATGTCTCTGGTGCGAATGGCAGGCTGTTCTCTGCTAGCCAGCCTGACCACGGCACACACGTGATCAGCCACATGTCATTCCGTGTTCTGAGGTGGGTTTGTTCATGCAGCTCTGGTCAGCTTTGGAGAAACACAGAGAAAAGTCAGCAAAGGCCAGACTGGGACTGTCCCCAGCCCTTGCAACTGCATCCGTCTCAGAGAGATGCTGGTTTCAGCAGCAGTGCTGAACAGATCCTATAGGCACAGATCTTGGCCATTGTTTCTGCAGCTGGCCAGTTATACCCTCAGCTGTCCCCAGGTGACAATACCCAGCACAGAAAATGAGATATGGGTCAGCACACCCCAGAGCTGGAGTCAATCCAGTGTTAAAGATGGATGGATTCCCCCTTCCTCATTCACTTCATTGACATACTTACTAAAATCACCTGCTCAGTGCCTCCTCTGGAGAATAAACTCAAATGATGCCTAGAAACAAATGGACTCCTTAAAGGGGAATCAGCATTGTGCTATAATAGAAAAGATTGTCTAATCACTCCATCAGTAATTACAAAGAACAGGATATCACTAATTAAAATGTGAAAGTGTCTTATGCAGGGTATACTAAAAAAGGGTAATTAACAATCAAAGGAAAAGCCACCACCTTGCCACCAATCTGCATTAGGCTACAAACAATAATAGTACTCAACTCCAGTACAGCACTTTTCATCTGTAGATCTGAAGGCACTGCTGCGTGGGGAGGCAGGTATCCTGCGTCCCATTTTATCGCTGAAGAAACCAAGGCAAGTTTACACAACTTGTCCACAGTTATACTGCAGGTCAGTGGCAGAGGATCCTTTACTTTGGTCTTTTCACAGATGGTGACAAGGAAAATTTCAGCATTTGAATGAGCACAGTGATTTCAAGGATTTGTTTTAGTGTGTATGTGTGTAAGTAAGTGGCTAATTTAGCCGATATTTCAATATTAAACCAAACAGTAAGGAACAGTCTGTTCCTTGCCATGACTTTTGAGGTCTGTTTAATGCTGAGAAGCATGTCCCATGTGCTTAAACAACAGCATCAGAGGGTGATTTCCTGATAGGAGAGAGAGTGAGATCAGAGAGAGCAGCAAAACAGAGGTACTCTAGTTCTGGAGACAGCAAAGACATTAATCACTTCTAAAATCACTACAGAAAAACAGTTTCCTTCTCCACTTTTATCATCAAGTCACACATTAGCAGAGGCTGAGGAATGAACAGAGTGAGGTTTCATTCTCTGTCCATCCTCTTTCCCCCACGCTTTCTCAAAGCAGCAACCACTGGTCAGTAGTGGGGGTTGGATGCACACTCAGACATACCTCATCTGGCTCTTGCTGCAGCTTTAGGGAGGAGGAGAAGAGGCAGCTACATCCAAGCTGCCTTCTACTTCACACCAGGAGCATTTTACAAGCCCACTGAAGCCATACAGTGCACATGAACTGCAATGACTATGTGCTAGGTTCAGAGTGCAAAATAATGACAGCAAAGTCTGATGATATCAAAGTCTGTTTTTAATGTAAGAAGCATTTCCAGCATGCATAACCATTCACCACCCTTCTGCTTCAAAATTTTTACCCCCAAATGTCTGGAAATATAGCCCAGGTTCTCCATTTCTGCCTTTTGTAGGTGCCCTAAAAGAAGAAGCATTTTGATCATTTTCTGCGAAAAAAATTAAAAAATTAAGGAAGTCACCCCAGATCAAAACCACAGGAAAGGATTTTTCCCACTACATAGTATTAATCTTGCTAAAGTAGGGGACGTCCCTTCTCTTGCATAGCTCTTCTGGGAATCTCTGCTTGGTTGTGTTGGAAATAGGTGCTGTAATCTGGTTAGAAGGTTTTGTCATGGTTTTGCTCAGTGCCCACTGGAGGCCTCCCAGCAGCATAAGAAAAACTGATTTTCATCGCTGACAGATTAAAACAAATCAGGTTATCGCCAGAGAATTAGCTAAGCTTGCTGCTCTGGAGAGGGGATCCTCTTTCTCCACCACTCCACGTACAGTGGTCTCCCATCAGCAGGCACCAGTGCTTTCCCAGAGCTTTGCTATAAGCAGCGTAAGCCATGAAACCTCTCTGCTCAGGAACGTATAAAGTCTTTTATAAAGGGCCAGGAAGCCAGAGGGCTGAGTCCAACTCATGGGAAACCTCCACATTAGGGAACACATCGTGGGGGTGGGGACCATAAAGACCCCAAGATGCAAAGATGCATTTTGCTTCCAGCTCCTGTAGCAAGAAGGAAGGCCAGGGCTGGGGGGTACCGCAGGCACGGTGAGCTGGCATTGCAAAGCAGAGGGATGCATCACACCCTCACCAAGTCCCCATCCTCATGCTGGTGCCATGGGCTGCCCTGCTAGTGACTGCGTGATATTTTTTCCCTGCTTTCTTTGTTCCAGCTGATGCAGCAGCAAGCCGCGATCATGGCGTCGGTGGCACAGGGTGGCTACCTGAACCCCATGGCAGCCTTTGCCGCGGCCCAGATGCAGCAGATGGCGGCTCTGAACATGAATGGACTGGCTGCTGCCCCCATGACACCAACCTCAGGTAAGGGCCCGAGTGGGTGGAGAGGGTGAAAAGCAGGAAAATCTGGCCACATCCCAGAGGACACCTGGGAGGACATGTTAGCTGACAGGTTCAACCCCAGTGAGTGTTGACTGAAATGTTGGTCTTGCTGGTGAAGACCACCAGAAGTGAGGAGTGAAGTCAACCAGGTCTTTTTCTGGTCTGGGAGAGGGGAAAAGGGGCAGAGAAAAGGGGCTGTTACCACCTCTGCCAGGGCTGGGTCCAGCTGGGAGTCAGCTTCTACATGGTGAAACAGTTGTAAGGACAAAGTCGAAGGTCTGGCCAGCAGTTGGCTGTTGGGCTAGCTGTGCCCCACACTGAGTGGCACTCACTGGTGGGTGAGGAGAGCAAAAGGATTGAGACCCACCAGAGCTGGGATGCAAGGGGCTTCTTGGGGAGGAGGACAGGTGCTGGCAGGTAAGGCTCTCAGCCATGACCCTTCCCTCTCAGCTACACAGCTTTGCTTTAGCTCTGAGCATCCTCCAAATGGCACAAAACATCCCCAAGTAACCTACACTGGTTTATTGGTGATGCAATAGGTGTCCAAGGGGTCAGTGCTGGTGCTGTGACAGCCAGGCCAGTCCAAAGACAAACAAAATAAGTTTTGTGGTGAGATGCAGTATCATTAACAAGATGAGCTATATGTTTGGAACACATAAGCCTGTCCTTACTGTGAAATAGGACAGGAGGTACCACCTCTGGTGCTACCTGGAATGCAAGTATTTGATGACACTTGCACCAGCCTCCCTGGCTGCTGGAGCAAAGGCAGGTAGTGAACATCTTCCAGGATCTGGCCAGGCTGTGAGCTGTCATGAGAAGGCCATGCTAGGAGCTGCAGTATATGCTTCAGTGGGCAGAGAACTAAGCTGAGGTGGAAACAGCTCTGGCTTTCCTGGGGCTTGAAGCACAAGGAAGTCATTTGGGCAGGAACAGGTCAAGGAACCAGCAGGGCTGGTAGTCATGGAGTGGCATGCAGCCTAACACGGGGAAGTAGAGCAGCAGGAAAAGTGGGGCCAAACCACGAGAGGAAAGAAGTGAGAATTTGGAGACCTTTGCAATATACCACTGAGACTGATAGGGTAGCAGAGGCCTCAAAGGTACATCTTCAGAGGACCATTTCTAAGGGACAGGTTGGGATAAAAGGGTCCCTTGGGTGATGCAGGTTGTTCCTGTGAGAGGCACTGGGGATGGGACTGTGTTCAGAAAGACATGGCATACCAATGCCCTTGTGTGAACCTCAAAGCATCAAGCCAGGCTGGAGGGGACCAACTTGACAAAGGTTTGGGGTGAGACATGGGAGGAGTGAGCTATGCCTGAGCCAGCTGTGGTGCAGGCAGTGCCAGGCACAGCAGGATCTGGGACTCCAGAGCAGAGCAGTAAGAGAGGAAAAGGACAGCTTCATTGCCGAACACGGAGAGGTCTGCACCAGCCCTGTAGCAGGAAAGGGCCATTTGACGAAGCAGCCAGGAAAGATGCCTCATGGCTGAGTGACACTGGATGGCAGGGAGATAAGCCACCGCAGCAGTGCAGGCTTGGGGGCCGTTCCTAATGACTGAGTTCTGCTAACCTGTCTGCCAAAGAAAACCTCCCCGTGCACCCACAGTTTAGCATCTCTTCGCAATCTGTAGCCGGGAACAGTGTCAGCAGCTACTGGATCAGATATGTATCTTTTCCTTTGCTTGTATCAGAATATGAGGGAGGAAAAAAAAGGGAAAGAAAGACAGATCTCATTCCACGTAAACTCATGGAGAGCCAAGGAAAAGTGCTTGACTCAAAAATCTTATACCACACGTTTCAAAATATATGTGTACACAACGATAAATGTATAAACAACAAGTCAATGGAGCTACTGCAAATCCAAATAGAAAAGTGGCTTAATTATATGTGCAGCCTTTAAACTCACTGCTGGAAAGATTATCATATTTGCATTAGCCAGATTTGTTTTGTGTTGGTGGGAGCAGAGAGAGTCAAACAAAGACTGCCTGGAATTCAAATGCTCTTAGGGCCTGGAAAGCTGAATCCAGGCAGTAGTTTCTGATGGCCACACCACAAAAGAGCACAAGCTCTCTTGCATATAAATAAGTTCTGTGACATAGGTGTGTAAATACCAGTACAACAGCCAAATTCTGTGCCTACCATGATATTCAGAACATTAAAAATATCTCAGGCCTTCTTCGTTGTAAGCTCTGCTCCTCTTCTGATGTGCCTGGTGCCTTTTGGGGACTGTTAAACTCTTATTGTCAGAATACAGGAGAGGAGAACTCATGTTTTTTACATGCTTTCCACAGTACCCGTGACTGGTCATTATTGAAAATAAGATACTTGTTTAGATGATCCCTTGATCTCTTTCATGGTGGCGGATTTTTCACTCTCCTTACGACATATTTTCAATCTTGGAGCCTATGCACTTTGACATTACTGCAGATTTACCTTGAATGGGTAGCTTTCCTCATGAAAAACCTCTGTAATGGGTTGTGGAAATGTCCATTGACAATTATTCCTTGGGTGAAATGTTTAGACTTTGAAATGACTCCTTGTATTACTACAACGCTCACAAAGCTTGTGATAAGACACACAGAAAATGTTTCACATAACGTCTGAGTAAGCAAGCCCACAACACTAGCAGCAATTTCTGAGTAGCCAGGACATATCTGAAGCCTCACATGAATTCTCCTGCTGGCTTTTGTTAGCATTCAGAAAGCCAAATGGAAAATGTTCATTCTGCTTCATAGCAGGATTTCCAGTCATTGAAGTATATCTTTGTTCTGACTTGGAATGAATATGAAACATTTCAAAGTTCTCTGAAAAACAGGCATTAGAAAAAGTGTTTGGAAGATTGAAAAAAAAAAAAAAAAAGGAAGAAAAAAAAAGAAAAAAAAAAAAGTGGTTTGATCTTTCCTAAGCAAAAGAAAAATTGTGCTAGAAAAAGGACACTGGTAACCCAAAAGTCCTAGAGGCTTTAGAGGTATTGGCTGAACACAGTGCCTCTGTGCTGGTATCTTCACGCCTCCTAAACCAGTTGATTTTCTATGCATCCCTCCTCTGGGGAAGTGGGTTCCTTGGGACATGGCCATGAGTTCTTTCAGGGTCACAGGTTCCCATGGGACCTGGGAACTTAAAGAGTTTTGGATCTAGGCAAATCTAACAGGCTAGAGACAGGATCCATCTCACCTGGCTTTAACCATACAAAAATTAGACAAATAGTTTAAACTAGTCACCTGGCTTGCCTGCTGTCAATGGAGAGCAGTAGGCAGTCCCAGGGTGTAATTTAGACCCTAGAAACTTTATGCTGTCTGCTGGCATTTTGACAGTTCCTCATCAAGAGTCAGTTTTATCTCACACGACAGTCCGTAACTGCAAGGCAATTAAATTGACATCTCTGAAAGTGTGGTTCAAGTTTTACATTTCTCCCATCATTGGTATAATCAGGGTGAAAAGTGGGTCTGCAGTGGGTCTGCCACTGTGTTAACTGCACAGGAGGGCTAGAAATGAAATTTCATTTAGGATTCCTTCCTTCTCTTCTCCCTCCTTCCATGTTGTAAATCTGTAACTGGTGTCGCTGCAGCAAGAGATCTCAAACCAGGGATGAAATCCACAACTGGCATGCATCATGCCATTTGTTCTCTGCAGTGGCATTATGCCAGTTTTACTCCAACTACAGATCTGACCTCTCCAGGGGGGGGTTCTTTATAAGAAGAAAATTAAAGAGTTGCAATGAATATGCCTAAACTCCTTAGACATGCACAAAATAGCAAGCACAAATCCCTTGCTGCAATTTTAGAAAAAATTACTTACATTGTCTATGCAAATAAAGGAGAGATCCAGAAAAGCAACTGAAATTTTAAGTAGCCTTTGTGATTTGCAAACTGATGGCATATACTAAGAGCATTGCCTTTGGACTTCACTTGCCACCACTAGCTCCCTGTACCTCCACAGAGGACATTTTTAAAGGCCAACACCATTTAAATAAGCAAAGGGGAAGCAGCAGCTTCTCTGCTCAGGGTATAAGAAAAGAGTTGAAATAGTACCTGCTTTTGGGGCTACTCAAATCAGAACATATTAAAACATCTCCTGCATTTGTATTGGCTTTCTTAAGGCACCAATACAGATTTAAGCAGTTGTTAAAGTGTGTCTTTGGACTGAACCATCATGGAATGCTGCTATGGTGAAGAAAATTTCTGCAATTAGTTTAAAAAAACAGGTTATTGCAAAAATGGTGCTTTCAATCAGTAGTATACCCTGACACAGAAAGATCCACAGCTGGCAAAAGAAAAATATGATTTCATACTTATTAAAATTCATTTTTGGCACCCCAAAACATCCTGAATAAGTTGCAAAAAGCATAGACTGCACAGACTTTTTAAACATACATAGGAGAACACAATGATGTAGCAGAGGGATTTAATTCTCCCTGCAGAAATGTAAGAGTTCTCTAGCAGTGGGTGACAGGATCCCACCCAAAATATAAAGACTAAATTCTTCCAAAATAGAAGCATTACAGGATGCATCTGGGAAGAAGGGGAGGAGTATGATTCCATGAAACAAATCTAGCCAAAATTTGGCCCCTGTTGAGTAGGAGGTCTCTACTAAAACTCTACAAAGTCAAGTTTGGGCCAAACAGTGACACTAAAAAAAATTATCACTAGCCATCTTTAGGCAAACCTTTTAAGCCTCTCTGGTGCTGAGAAAGTTCAGAATGAGTTGTACCTGAAATGCATATTCATGAGAGAGTGCAGACAGAGTACTCCTGGAAATTGGTATGCCCACAAAGCTGACATCTCCAAAGAGAAATTGAGAAGAACTGCTGTAGAAAGGTGGGTCTGAGAGTTTGCTTCTGGTGCTAAATGATATCATCTAGGAAAGAAATATCTGCTTATTCAGCAATTTAAACAGGTAATACTCCAGGGAGAAAGTTGAGGAGGAAGGGTGATATTTCTGTGGTCTTCTATTGTTTGCTGTTTGGATCTAGTCTAGAGACCATAATCACCAGGCAAAAGCTTCATTCTGTTGAAGAAAGTTTTGCAAGCCCTTCTTAAGTGCTTTCCAAATAGAGGAGCAGTGGCAAGCAGTCCTTTTCTTTTCATGGCAGCCTGAGAGATTTTTCATTTCTTGGATTATCAGAAGGATTCTATGTGGTGGTTAGCTGTTGCATCAGTAGTTTTCCCCATGTAATTATTGCTTCTAGTACTCACCAGCTCTGATTTTGTGTCCTCCCCACTTGCAGGTGGAAGCACGCCTCCTGGTATAACTGCACCAGCTGTGCCTAGCATCCCATCTCCAATTGGGGTGAATGGTTTCACTGGCCTCCCACCGCAGGCTAATGGGCAGCCCGCTGCAGAAGCTGTGTTTGCTAATGGTATCCACCCTTATCCAGGTAAGCCAGACTAATGCTGTGCTCACAACCTGCTCCTTCTGTCTTAGGGAGATTGTCCACACCCACGGACTTTGGGTCTAGCATGAGTCACCTCAGAAGGATCATACCTCACACCATCAAGGCATCTAGCATTAGTGCAGTTAGGTCCTATCCAGCTCCAGTTGTCACACACTCAAATCTGGATGATACGTTTGAAGGGCATATTGGAGGCAGAAAATTTTTATGCTGAAGAACTGAGTGCTCATCTGCTGGATGACTTGTCTGGTGAATAGAAACAGGACATGCAGCATGTTTTGCTTTAGCTAAAATTTAATCTAAGGCCTGACCAGTTCATTCTGGCAAATCTCCTAGTGGTACTTCCAAGGGTCTTACACCTGGCTAGCCTTGAAGGAGCTATGCTAAGCCTGTTTGCATCTCCTTGCACCCACTGTTGGTATCCCCCGCTGGGATTCCCTTACAGCCTGGCTCTGAGAAGATGAGTCCTGAGGGTTCAAGTGGCTGCTGACCCAAACTGCTCCATGTCTCAGACCACGTGGGCAGGCAGCAGGTGCTGGTCTCTGAAACACTCACTGAACCCAAATCCTGTTGCCTTTCCAGGCCTGGAGACTGCAGCTCCTTTAAAATAGCCACAGAATGGGCTTAACTTCACTATTTTGTGGCACACCACCAGAGAACTGCTGCTGAGATTCATAGACTGTGACTAGCTTAAAAGATGCCAGTACTGAAGGGGTGATTTTGCAAGCCCTAGCAGTCAGGTATGAATGAGGGAAGTTAAAGGATGCATACCTACCTCTATACCTGTACTTGCAAACATACGGACACTCTGAGGCTGTATTCACCAAGAACTCAGGAGTTTACAAGTCCTTAATTTGCACCTACATTTTTTCAGCATCCTCAGCATTTGAGATAGCCCTCTCCTCCAAGCTGTACTTCTGCTAGGAAGACATTCCTTACCACTTCTGTACACATACTAATAATAACAATTATAACAACAAAAATTTAAGTAAATGTTACTAATTGATTGTAGCCACCAGCTGGCAAAGGAGTATTTTACCCTGGGGCACTCATAGATTGATCTAGTCTGCTAGGCAATCAAACACTGAGTCAGGTGCTCCAGCCAAAAAGCCTACAGAATCCTAAAGAAAATAATTCTTGCAATCTCAGCAAGTCCTGAAAACCCAGATGATTCAACATCACAGGGGACCTTATGAGCTACAAGAAAAAATACCACATAATGTAGAAATACAAAAGTCTTATCTGAGTTACTGCTTAGACAATGTCACTGAAAAAACACCTGTGAATGTAACAATGGAAAGACCAGAAATGTCAAGAGTATTGAAAAAATAATTTTCCTTTCCCACTTCCCTACCTTGTAAACATTTAGCCATGAGCTCAACTTTAACCAGAATTGAAATCAAGAGGCTTACTGTGCTAAAAGTTAGATATGCATATACATGTTCATAGCAGCTTAGAGGGATGGGAGCTCTTGGAGACTTGCAGAGGCATCAGAAGATTGGAGGGAGCCCTTAGTGTGCTCAGTGAGGAGCAAGAAAGGCCCCCATCTTTAAGGTATAAATATAGCCATCTGTTCAGCTATCCATCTATCTAAGTATCTACCTGTTTGCCAGTCTATCATCTCTTTGTTTATTCATCCTTTTCTATGTCTATCTTTTTTTCTGGTTTATCTAGCTCCTTTTAGCTAATCTTCCATGATCCATTACTGCAGATATCAGAGAAAAGATGAACTTTCTAGATGAATCTTAATGACTTGAGCTTTTGTTCCTATCTCCACATACCCTCATAATTAAAGAAAGTTTTCAGTTAGATATTTCATCCATGATTATATAAAAGTCAATGGTCTTAATCTGATTCTCTCTGAGTTTTGGAGAGACTTGCTCAGCCAGCAATTCACCATAAGCCCCTGCACAAACACCAGCAGCCTAACAGACTGAAAGGTGATGGTCATCCTTGCTCCACTTCGCTGCAGGCAGAGAGGCTCCTTTCTGCTGGTAAAGCTGACATCCAAATAGTCTGCTAATAGTCTACTCTGTGTAGAGTTTGGATTTATCTTGGTGTGTCTTGAGCAACACATTGTTTTTTCTCAGTGCTCAGCTTCCCCATAACTTAGTGATACCTTAAGTCATACCTGACATGTAACGGGAACAGTGCCAGGCCAAACCCTCATTTTACTTCTCCCTATCCCCACTAGCAAGGAAACCCTGAAAGCAAGTTCCTTTGTAGTAGTTTGGGAGTAGGACACATCATGTGTTTGCTCCATCTTATTCTCTTCCTTCTCATGAGCACTTATGCACTCTCCAAAACTATACTCCTTGCCACAGGCTTTATTGAGGCCTGGAGCTTAGCAGCATTTTAAAAAAAAAAAAAAAAAAAAGGATTAGACATTTATATGGGTAATGAGAACATCCAGAGTCACATTAGACTGGATAAAAACGTAGAAAGGACACAAACCTTCATGCTTTATGATATAAGCTAGCCACTAATTGCTTGGGGTTAGAAAGAAATTTTCATCATTGCGCAGCTTATTCCATCATTGTTCATTATGGGATTTTTTGCATTTTCCTCTGTAGCATCTGTTACTGGCACTGCCCTGTCTTTGTTTCTAAATGCAAGGGCAGAAAAAAAATATTAAAGTTGAGCATGCAATTGCACTAACATCATACGGAAGGAAAAAAAACATGCCAGTCCCCATCCAAAGTCAGTATCTTCCAAACAACTTTCTTTTATGGTATGTGTCTCATACTGAAAGTGGCCAAGAGTGCTGCAGTATTATGTACATAACCATAGTCTTGCTATGATTATGACTTGCTATATATTGTTTAAAGCCTAAATTTTGCTCTCAGATACTCTTTCATACTCCACAAGAAAACTCAAATGTGGGTTCACACCATCATATGCTGTAGCAGAATGTTCTCTGTTGCCTGAAAATAGAAAAACAGAACAATCAAAATCTGTAGAGGCATGACATCCACATCGTTCAGACCCAAATAAATCCCATTAATTGTGCAGTTTGTCTACACGTCCACCTTTGTGTCTAGCTATAATATTTTTCATGCTGTATCTAAAGTACTCCAGAACTCCAAAGTAAAAACTGTAAATTCCACCGTAAAAACAGGTCCAGGTAATGTAATTGTATTTACTCTGTAGTTTCACTCTTTTTCCCCCCTCCCTGTCTTCCCCATGCTCTTTTTTTTAAGATTCCCTTTGTCTGGAGCAAGGACACACACAGTATCATTTGAGTCAGACTACTGAACCATCCATGGCTTTGGGGCAAAGGCAAGAGTAGGACGAACATCCCCACTCACCAGTCTCTGATCACAGCCCCAGTGCCTGCAGGAATTCACTTTTTCTGTGGCTCTGGCCAGGCTATGGATCCATGCAGTAGCACTAGAAAACCATTCCTTGCAGGCATACTCTTTGTGAGCCTTGCTCTCACCTTCTCCCAGCTGAGCCAGTACATAATACCTCACAGTGCATTTTGGCATGGACAGAATCACATGGGAGTAAATATTTCCCCTTGCACTAGTCCGAACCCCTTTGGAGATTTGGCCTTTTTTGTATTAATGCTTGCCCTTTAGTCTTTCAGCTTGCAGAGCTATTGAACATGGCAATGTGTCACAACATATAGTGGGGACAAAGAGCATAATTTGTTGCGCCATGATCTTGTGAGTCACTTTGCAGCAGTGCAAGAGCATTTGCCATTTCCACATTAGCCATAGTAACAGGGATTGCGCTCTTCTGCCAAAGCTTCTCAGCCACCCAGAGCCCAGTGCCTCTCTTGTTAACAGAGCGTGATGTACCGTATCAGTGGAGAACATCTGCACTGCTTTCTGCTGTGTCTCACACCTCAGCATTCTGCTCTCCAGTAACAGGTCCCTGCATTGTGAGGGGCTGAATAAAATGCTCACTCCAAAAAAAAAAAAAACTTTCTTGGGAAGAGAAGGAGAGGGAGAGATGAAAAAATGGGGAGAGCGAAGGGCATCAACTAGGAGAGAGAAGGGATTGACTATCAAAGGATCAGTGAAATGAGGAAACTTGAAGGAGGAACAGAGTAGAGCCCCCAGAAAAGAGTGAGCACTGTTCTGTGGTCTTCAGTCCAGTGATGTGCCCAGGAAGTAGTAGAAATACACCCTACAGCATCCAACAGCTCCCAAACAAAATTATTCCTCCTGGGCCAAGGGACATCCACCTTGCCCAGATCCAGAGATGGATCCAGTGGTATGACAGCTTTGTGGAGCTACAGATGGGAAATTCTTTCCAGGATGTGGAGTTCTTCAGTGCATTTGTTTTGGGCTTAGGTTGCTGAAGAAAACAAAAGCAAAGTTCCCTCGGTTGCTTGTAATACCATTATAAACACGTTGCCTCATTTGCTGTTCTCGGGCACACAGTGGTTCTGACTGCCCAACGCTGCCAGGACTAGCTCTATCTCTGCTCTCTGCAGACACAGCAGAGGTCCCCCATTCTCCTTTGGTTATGCTCTGGGCATGTCTGGGCTAGCAAGACAGCAAGCTCCACTTCATACCCTATTTGGGGTCCAGCCCTCTCCGGTGAGGACTAGATGTCAGTACAAATGGGCAGCCAAGCCTTTATGCCCACGTTTCCAAGCCGCTGCTGAGATTGGCAGTAAAGGTGTCCCCCACAGGTGAATTCCTGTGCTGTAGAATCTCATGTCTCAGGAACTGAACCAAGACCATCAATTCATTTTCCTTGGCTCAACAAAGAGCTATCAGGCAGTAACCAATTTCACCCATTGCCAGCAGAGACAGGATTCAAACTCCATCTGCAATTATTATCATTATCCAAGCTAATTTTTTAGGGGAGGAGTTGCTGGCATGCTAATATGACAGCCTTATCTATTAGCTTGTCAATTAGCTAGCAGCACTGCTGATGGGCAGGCTGCTGCTCCGGGCCAGTCAGTCCCAGGATCAGTCCCGATCACAACAACAACCATTCAGTGGCCTTGGGCAAGAGCAGGGCTTCAC